AAGGTTGCGTTACCTATCACATGATCCTGTGTCTATTGCTTATTATACATACACACACACACATTATTTTAAACACAAACTGCTCAAGATTCACAATGACTTTGTAAGTATATAAAGTAATGAAAATACTTCATTACAAATCTTTAGACGGACGCACCATTGCTCCAGCTTCAGTAAGACGCAAGAAACAGCATACAAACTGCTGACACACTGGTACTGCACCCCCGCTGCATTACATGCACACATCCCAGACTACCCCCCAGTGTGCTGGAGATGCGGAGAGGAGACGGGCACACTCCTACACATCTGGTGGGAATGCAACAAAATTGCCCCGTTCTGGAAGGACGTACATACAATCATAGGGCAGCTCTCAGATGACCCACCCCCATTCGGCCCAGCAGAAATGCTCCTACACCACACCAAGGTCCCCCGGACCATATATAAGAAATCAATGACGATACGCATACTAAACATAGCTAAAACTATCATCCCACAACATTGGAAACAACAGACCACCCCGCCACTGAGAACCTGGTTCACTCAAATGGAGGAGCTGAGGTCCTTAGAAGAACTCCACGCTGCAGCAAATAACACACACCAAACCTACCTCAATATATGGACGCACTGTCTACTGAAGTCAACAAAACCAGGCTTCCTGGGCGAACCCTAGGCCCAACGATAGAGACAGGACTTAAATTCCAATATGCTGCAGACCCATGACGCGGACAGAACCTAGACCCCCCCTCCCGATGCTTTCCCACCACGACCTACCCATCCCAACCACCTTAACACACGAGCCATGATACCCTTGAGGTGGCAGGGACCACCTAGAACCACACTGATAAGGGTGACCCGGAGGCCACACAGAGAGGATATCCGCCACGTAGGCAGGTATCCAACGACCGCAGTAGAGTAGGGGAGACGACAGACGATCACCACGGAACACATGGGGATGGGGAGGTGTTTTGTTTTGTTGCTAACCAGCTGTCCATGCTAGGAGGCTGATAAAATGTGTTCTTCATAAGTTGTTTGTTCTTAAACTGTTTGTCTTATACAATGTATAAATCTCCATAACGGATGGGACCTGCGAGTCCACATTGTTTGAGGGGCCTGCGAGCCCGCACTGTTATATAACCTCACAACGTTGCTGACTTACTCTTTGCACTTACTAAGCAACGGACCTGCGAGTCCAAACGAAGTATGACTGCCTCGATACGAAAATGAAAATAAAAATTATATTTACAAAAAAAAAAAAAAATCTTTAGACGGACACTATAGTCACCATAACCACTACAGCTTAATGCAGTGTTTTTAGTGTCTATAGCCTGGCCCTGCAGGTTTTTTGTTTTTGTTTTCATAGTGCACAAGCAGTACAGTAGTCACAAAGTACACAGTAAGAGAGCCCGTTTGAGGAAGGTCAAGGACCGAAACGTTGGGGTTATTTTGGTCTCTACGCTCTAGGTCAGTATACCTTGTTTATATTTTATGGGTTGTTAGTTCATCACTTTATATCTTAAGCACTTTACTGAATATGCATGCAATATAGTACATTTAATGATATTATTTGTTCCTCTGTTCTGCACAATTGCACTTTTTTTCCATTAAATATGCATTTAACCCCTTAAGGACACAACTTCTGGAATAAAAGGGAATCATGAAGGAATATTGTCATGTGTGTCCTTAAGGGGTTAAAGAAATAAAATCATCTTTGTACTCATATCTTTGGTGTGCTGGGGTATTATTTGCATCATACAGTAACAACACAAAGTGTATAGTATATAGATATGCGAGAAAACAGATATGGATGGCAATACGACACCATTTTTCTTTTATAAAAAAACATAACACAATTTAAGGAAAAAGTCACATTAGTGATATCAGCGTACTAGTTGCCATCCATACCTCTTTGAATAAACCATAGGGAAATAAGAGTAAACTGCCACAATAAGCCAAAGCGGTAATTGTTATACTGTAGAAACAACATTAAAGGGACACTATAGTCACCAGAACAACTACAGCTTATTGAATTTGTTCTGGTGAGTAGAATCATTACCGTCAGGCGTTTTGCTGTAAACACTGTCTTTTCAGAGAAAATGCAGTGTTTACATTACAGCCTAGTGATAACTTCACTGGCCACTCCTCAGATAGCTGTTAGAGATCCTTCCTGGGTCATGGCTGCCTAAAATGCATCCAAACATTCAGTATCTCCTCCCTCTGCATGCAGACACTGAGCTTTCCTCATAGAGATTCATTGATTCAATTCATCTCTATGAGGAGATGCTGATTGGCCAGGGCTGTGTTTGAATCATGCTGGCTCTGCCCCTGATCTGCCTCCTTGTCAGTCTCAGCCAATGATATGGGGAAGCATTGTGATTGGATCAGGCTACCATATGTCAGCAGACAGCTTGTTTTTCTGAGTCTAACAGCATGCAGAGTTACAGCTTCAGGTTTAAATACAGCAAGATTTTTACTATATTTATGGAGGCATGAGGGGCCCAGGGGGGGCTAGATGGTGGTGTTAACACTATAGGGTCAGAAATACATGTTTGTGTTCCTGACCCTATAGTGATCCTTTAAGAGCTTTATGCCAATAATATAATAAGAGTGGATTTGTATACCAAGGGCGTTCAGAAGAGATGGTGACTGATAAAACAAGACAAACGTGTGATTGTTGACTAGTAGTGCCATACAGCATTGGGTACAATTTAGTGTGGTCTGGTCAGTGAAACCTATATGGCTATGACATCTTTAAATCACATAAGATGAGAGTGGTAGAAATAAAAAAACAAAAAAGAGAAAGCAAATAAGAAGAACATACAATAAATAGTAACATAGCAAGGCTAAATAAGCTCAATAAGGCCTGCAGGCTTTTTAAAGTAAACACTGACCTGTCAGAGAAAAGGTCCCCTTTGCTGCATTGCTGCCTAGTAATACCTCCAGTGACAGTCACTCAGACTAGCTGTGATTCCTAGTCTAGTACTGCACAGTAAAAAAACCTTTTATCTCCACAGGGAGCGGAGTTAAATATGTATTCCAGCACTATATTGTATGGAGTACATGTTTGCAATCCTGGCAATATAGTGTTCCTTTAACCATGAATCATGAGTTGATCAACTTCTTTGTCCCCTGCCAAATGATTGTTGTTTTTATTATTATTAAAGAGACACTGTAGGCACCCAGACCAGCTAATTGAAGTGGTCTGGGTGCAGTGTCCCTATTGCACTTAGCGCTACAATGTTAAACATTGCAGTTCCTGAGAAACTCTAAGACTGCCCACAGTGGCTATCTACCAGACAGCCACTAGAGGGCTTCCTGGATCAAAAAGGTCCGATATCGGACGCTGGACATCCTCACGCTCCGCATGAGGACATCCAGTGTCAGATTTTTCCCCATAGGAAAGCATTGATTCTAGGCATGTGCACTAGCACTTGCACTAGCACTAGCACTTGCTTGTCGCGGGATGTCGGAGGGAGTGGAGCATCGAAATAAGGTAAATAAATAAAACGTTTATAAATGAACCCTTTATTCACCTGGGCGCGAGGGAGGGGGTGGCAGGGGGAGCGATAGTACCAGGAATACAGCTTTGTAATACTGGCACTGGAGTATCCCTTTGAGACAAACATGCACTGGGAAAGGACTGAAACATCATTCATTTCTCAAAATACAGTTAATTATTTTTATTATGAATGGATGGGTGGATATCCCCAGAGTCCTTAAGTCAGTTTTTTTTGTTTTGTTTTTTAAATTCGAGTTTTTTAGTTCCCAACATTTCAAATGGACAAAGAAGACACTTTATTTAATTTTAGGGGTGTGACCAGGGTCGGGGCTGTTGAGTAATTTTAGGTGACTTACTAATAACAGTTTAGACAACTAAAATGTAATTTACAACTAGAAGAATGTATCTTATTTACACAGACTGATTTCTGAACACAGTTATTGTAGTTTAACCCCTTAAGGACACATGACATGTGTGACATGTCATAATTCCCTTTTAATCTAGAAGTTTGGTCCTTAAGGGGTTAAGGGGTTAAAGACACGTTACTGAGTGTTTTTTTGGTGGCGCTCTAATATAAATTCAGACTGAATACCGAGCTCCTTTAAAAGAGGGACTGCAGTACAATAAAGAGGGAAAGAGGGATTTGGGCCCAAAATAGGGACTGTCCCTCCTAAATAGGGATACTTGGGAGGTATGGCATTTGTGCTTGGATTCCTTTAAGGGAACACTACAGTGTTAGGAGTACAAACATGCATTCCTAATGCCATAGTATCCTGGTATCTAATTAGATTAGGCATACCACCTAACTGAATTAAAGAGATTTACTTACTTACCATGACCAAATCTACTTATGATCTTTTTAACCCCTTAAGGACCAAACTTCTGGAATAAAAGGGAATCATGACATGTCACACATGTCATGTGTCCTTAAGGGGTTAAAGAGCATCAAATTTCATCCATACATTGTGCCAGCATTCTTAAAATTGGTCTTTCTCCCAGGTGTCAATCAGTTCTTTGGCATAGACCAGCGATGGCGAACCTATGGCACGTGTCCCACAGCTGGCACGCCAAGCCCTCTCTGTGGGCACACGGCCATAAGTCGCCGGTAGGGTGCACAGCGGTGTATTCACTGCAAGGCTAACCAGGCATTTGCCTTGGTCGGCACTGCCTTGTTAGCCTCGTGTCCAGGGGGGCCCAAGAGCTGTCCGGCTGGCCACCTTTGGGCCCCCACAAGGCGGGCAGCAGCTTCTATTGCTGACTTGCAGCGAGGGAGTGCTGTAGCCTGAGCTCTTACTGCTCAGCTCCCTCACGGGCCACTTAGTGATGCCGGGAGCCGGAATATGACGTCAGACCGGCTCCCGGCATCACTAAGCGGCGTGTGAGGTAGCTATGCAGGAAGATCAGAGCTCCCTCGTCGCCTACTCTGCAGGTTGCCCCCTGCCTGTCCAGCAGCACAAGCAGCCCCTGCAGCCCCACCGTACCCCAGGTGCAGTGGCATACACATGACCCATGGGGCGCCGGTGCAAAAATTCATCCGTGGGTCGTCCCCCCCCCGTCGGGGTTGCAACACATGGTGGCGGGCACCTGGTCGCAGGGGTTGCAGGGCTGCGACCCGCGACCGCGGTATGCACACACACTTAAAGGACCACTACAGACACCCAGATCACATCAGCTCAATTAAGTGGTCTGGGTGCCAGGTCCCTCTAGTTTTAACCCTGCAGCTGAAAACATAGCCGTTTCAGAGAAATGGCTATGTTTCACTGAGGGTTAATCCAGCCTCTGGTGGCTGTCTCATTGACAGCTGCTAGAGGAGCTTCCGCGATTCTCACTGTGAAAATCACAGTGAGAAGACACTGAACGTCCATAGGAAAGCATTGAGTAATGCTTTCCTATGGGCGGTTTAAATGCGCGCGCGCCTCTTGCCGCGCATGTGCATTTCGGAGCTGAGAGGCGGACACTGGGGAGTCCGACGCTGGAGAAAGGTAAATGCTGAAGACACACACACACACTCTCACGAACAGACGCATACACACTAGCTAACAGACACACACATTTACTGACAGAGACACACTCAGTGACAGACATACATACACACTCACAAAACATACACTTTCACTGACAAACACACACTCACTAACAGACATCAAACACACTCAGTAACAGACACACACAGTAACACACTCACTAGCATACACACACCCAATAACAAACACATTCACTGACACACACACACTAACACACGCACTAACACACAAACACACACATTTTTTTTTTCAAATTTAATCCCCCCAGCCTCCTTACCTTTTGGAGTGCTGGGGGGATTCCCTGGGGTCCAGTGGTGCTGCTGGGCTCCTGGTCACTGGGTGGGCGGGCTGCCTGGGCGGCCGGCGCGCGAGGGAGCACTTTACACTGTGTGCTTCCTCTTCAGCTCCCTCGCGCGCCGCGTAGGGATGCCCGCGCCGGAAGATGACGTCATCTTCTGGCTCCGGCATCAGTGCGGTGCGTGAGGGAGCTGAAGAGGAAGCACCGACCGGCAGAAGAGGCTGGCTCTGTGGGTACATACCGGGTCGCAGGGGCGGCCAGGCCCCCTGGTGAGCCGGGCCCGGTCGCAGCCGCGACCCCTGCGACCCTGGTATGTACGCCACTGCCCAGGTGAGGAATCCACTCCAGTTCTGCCACGGAGGCTGGGTGGAGTTAAAGTAAAATAAAATAAAAATAGTAATTTGTGAGTAGGAAATGTGTATGAGTGTGTGTCTGTCAGTCACTCTGTGTATGTCTGTCAGTGAGTGAGTGTGTCTGTCAGTTACACTGTGTCTGTCAGTGAGTGTGTGTGTCTGTCAGTCAGTGTCTATGTCTGTGAGTGTGTGTGTCTGTCAGTTACACTGTGTCTGTCAGTGAGTGAGTGTGTGTCTGTGTGTGTGTCTGTCAGTCACTGTGTTTTGTCAGTGAGTGTGTGTGTCTGTCAGTGTGTGAGTGTCAGTGTATATATGTAACGGACCACGGGTAACCCGACCAATTACCTCTGCTAATTCCCTTCCTTCAGCGAATCAGGAGCCATTTAAATTACAAAGAGACACATATTCCCCCACTAACTAGACGACATATAGTCCTGGAGGTACAACAGCCACTTTATTGGCCACACGCGGCTTTTATCAATACCCCATGCAAGGGGTGTATCATACCAACATCCAGTGTACCCTCCCAGGATCCTCCCTCTCCCTGGGTCCCCAGCACGGTAAAGAACTCTGTTCCATTTGTCCCCAACTCCACCCACTAAAGGTATGGGGTTTCCTTCGCCTGCACGCCTGGAGCTTCTGTGCCTGGGAGTCTAGGTGCGGGAACAAGGGACCGTCCCTTTGTCT